GACCATTTTTCTTTCGAACAAGAGAGAGAATTCCAAGCAGCAAATTAAAAAAATGGTGGTGGGATTCTGGAAAATGTTGCTGTCCAGCGAGAGGCCGAATCTGAGTGACCAGATAGACCACCTGTGTCAGGGGCGCGCACGTGTGAAGTGCAGTGAAGACGTTCAGCACAAAGAGCAAGCAGTCGTCAGTAACCGCGATTGGTACCAGTTCATCAACAGTAACAAACGTGCCACCAAAGCAAGACGCCAACCGAGAGACATGATGATGATCTGGTCACATTACCTGCAGATGCAACCTGTCTACACATCTCACTGATGGAAACTCTTCAGAGGGGAAAGCCATTTGTCCTAGTGTTAATGATTACAAAATAAAAATAATTTAATTAAAAGCAAATGAAAGAGAGGAGGCGGTCACAGGCATGTGTGGAAGGACAGTCAGGAGGGAGACAGGGTGTACTGTGTAGAAAGGTGTTTTGAAGCCCTGACACTAAACAGTAATTCTATAGCTGTCAATATTAAAAACACAGAAAGAAAAACCTTCTTAATTTCGGGAAAAGGCCAGTGCCCGTGACCCCCCTGCCGTCTCCTCTTTTCCGCCTCAACAGCTGGGGTGGCAGAGGGATCCCAGGGTGTGCAGGGGGGTCCCGGGGAGTCCGGCCGTAGGGTCCAGGAGCGCATGGCTGTGAGCCACGGGGGTTCGCTCGCTAAGCCAGCTGCACTTCCGTCTTGTTCGTGTCATAGAAAGCTAGGGCGCAGGGGAACAGGGGCTCAGGGTATATCTGGGGCCCACGGGAGCCCGGGACCTCTGCACGGCCTTCTGGGCTTTCTGCAGCTCACTAGGCACCGCAAGCACTCTGTCCACCTCCTCTGCTCACAAGTCCTCCCGCGAGAGCTGCCTCGCAGGTCCTGGGGCTCGGTGAGGACCGTGTTCTTCTGTTTCAACCTGATGGCCCAGTTCCAATGACACACGCATGACTGCTCTGGGCTCATTACTTCCTTTTTTTATTAAAAAAAATTTTTTTTAATATATATATTTTTAGAGACAGCGAGCATACAAGTACGAATGGGGAGGGGCAGAGAGAGAGGGAGACACAGAATCTGAAGCAGGCTCTGGGCTCTGGGCTGTCAGCACAGAGCCCGACACGGGGCTTGAACCCATGAACGTTGAGATCATGACCTGAGCCAAAAACAGGAGTCAGACGGTTAACCAACTGTCCCCCCAGGTGCCCTGCAATGATGGCGTCCTGAGCAGTTTGAAGAGGACCGCACTGAACACAATTAGAACTCACAGCTAGGGGACTGCGGTTTCCAACACTTTCTTTTTCTCTGTCCTGGGCACAGAGGTCACATGGTTGTCACCATGGAGCTCAAATTCAATTTTCCTTCCTGCACTGACCTCCTCTACCCTCACCACCAGCACAGACTCACTGAGCTTCCTGCACCGGGTGACAAGTGCAGGGAGAGCTTGGTGGCTGGGTGTGACCCACTGCTCCGCCGCCCCCCACGGGGTCTCAGGGCCCGCTGCTCCGCCGCCCCCCACGGGGTCTGAGCTCTGAATAGTGCTTCTCGCATGGCTGTCAGACGCCTGACCAAGAGCCCGATGAAGCAGCTCCTGCCCTAACTGCGGGGCCCCGCAGGACAGGGACGGCCGGATGGCAAAGTGCACTGGAGCACAGCAGGGCGGAGATGGGGGGTCAGGGCCAGGCCTGGGGCTGCTCACCACTCTTCTTCCTTTCCAGCAAGGGGGGATCTCAAGCAGCTGTTCGAAGACAGTGCTAAGCTTCTGAAAAACACACTGGGACCCCGAGAGAGGTGGAAACTACCTATGAAATTGCTAGAGACGTGGAAGAAATGTAGAAGACGGCGGTACTATTCCCTTCTTTGATGAAAATTCAAAAAACAAAACAAAGCACTTCATGATTTTTACTCATGATTCATTACATATCTCGTAATGAATATTCTGAATGGGTAAAAATTATGCCCGATATTTAAATATATGAAAGCTCATTCATAAAACTTATTTATTTGCATTGTTACAGCCTCCTCCTTAAAGCACATCTTAATGACTTGCTCTGCTCATCCACTGCAAGCTAAAATGAATGAATGAATCAAGCTCTTACATTTATGCTAGTTGTATCACGAAACGAGAAGAAAAATCAGTAAACATTCAGCATATCGCTGTGGATGAATGTTAACACACTTTAGCTAAAATGTACATATGATTTATGTCTATTTCATAATTTAAATTAGCTGCTTAATGATGCACGGCTACTGTCTTCTCTTTATCCGTATCCCAATGCAATTTAATTCCAGGCGGCATTAGAAGCATGCTTTCTTGTCTGCACATCTTGGGGAAAATATGTCCTCAAAACTGAAGCTAAGACTGACAGGGAGTCCCACACTTGGCCCAGCCCTGAAATCTCACTCCTCATCATACAGATGGCGCGGTGCCTCCTCCACGAAGCGCTCTCCGTAGAGACGGTGAAGAGGGCCGGAGTCTCCAGGACCCCGGGACACCGGACCGCACACAGGAGAGGGCACGCCAGCCGGGCCGAGGTTCACAGAGGAAAGAGCTGGGGTAGCGAGGGGCTCAAGGTGGTCACTGGCCAGCCCAGGAAATACCTGCCTTCTCGTCTCTTACTCATCCCTTGACCCCCGGGCTAAATGTAGAAGGGGCGGATGTACAAACAGTCCTTCTGAGTCTACAATTCTGGGCCTCAAGAGGCTCAGGAAGCGGAGCACTTGTGACCCTGTGCTTCGGGGCAGCTGGCAGTTCACAGCCGCTGAGACACGGGCCTGTGGACTCAGAGCGGAGTTCTGTCAGCGGCGGACGAGACACCTAGCAACCCCAGCTGCTGCCCCTCGGGGCTGGCCGAGGGTGCGGCCTTCTGCCCGGAGGACCACGCGGCGGGGGCAGGGCTGCGGCCAGGGGGGTGGGGAGGAGCACTGCTTGCACTGAAGGGAAGCTCAGCTGTTCCTCATGACAAGTATGAGAACATTCTACCCTCTCTTGATTATCAAGGCCACCAGGCATCATTTACTGGGCAGAAATATGCCCAAACCTGCCCCCTGGACACCGCCCTGAACCTCTCTCTATTGGGTACCTTTCCATCAGGGCAGGAAGAAGTGGCCCCAGAGACTCACTCCTTTCTGGGGTGGAAGTTTGCTCATCACCTTCCCAGGAAGAGAGGGGGCTCAAATGGCTGGAAAGTGTGGACAAGAACGGATACGATTAATTTACAAGCTAGAGAGCTGTCCCCTGAGCAGCCAGAGAAGGCTGCACCCTCCAAAGGCCACAGTCTGAATTTCCAGCGCACAGAGTGGGGGCGTGTGGGGCTCACCCCCAGCTGGACTCCCGTGGACAGAGCCCACCACCCGCTGGGGCTTCGTGGAGCTGGAGTGTGGGAGGAGAGGAGGGACCCGCCTGGGACCCACGGCAGACATGAGCCGGGCTCCCGGAGCAGGGGTGGGACGGACGGGGGCGCGGCAGGCACCCGTCCCACCTCCTCCACCTGTGCTAACACCAGGCAGCTGGGGCGTCCTCCTGAAGGTTCTGCTCCCAGAGGCTCCCGGCTCTTGTCTGGCCCCCACCAGACCTGATGGGCCACCGCCTGGGAAGGAGTCTGGGACAGGACCCTGCTGCCCTTCCTGACCCCGAGTCTATGCAACCCCCACCTTGTGGACGGCAACGTGATAAGGAGAGGGCACTGAGAAGAGAGAGCCTGCTCCTTCCCTGAATCCCTTCCACAGAAACAGGATGTGCGTTTTAAGGAAAAACAACACAGAAGCTGAGAAATGTGTTTTCACTTCTAGTCTCTGTTCGTCTATTTACCCACTTCTCACATTAACCAAGTAAGAAGCTGACTTAACTTTTTGGAAACGCGATGGCACCACCATCTTCCTTACTCATTGGGCCTTTGTGCTGCTTGTACGGTTACGATTTTGTGTTTTCTACCTGCAGTCAGGCTCTGGGCTTCCTGACAACCAGAACTTTTCTTTGTCATTCCTGGTCCAACCCACCAAGGCTGACCAGGTGATCTTGCGGAAGGTGCCAGTAGGGTACGGCGTGTTACTGATGAATTTAGAATAGAATATGAAAAACAGCCAATGCAGTAATTCTGTGCAGAAGCCCATCCTGAGTAACCTACACAAATGGCTTTGCCTGACCTTCACGACGCCCTGGAAAGAGTCATCCCTGCTGTCCTGAAAAGGGAGTGGGACACAGAGATGCTGGAGGAAGTGCAGGCCAGGGCTTACAGGAAGTCTGACCGCAGAGCCCTGGCCCTTAGTAACATCTGCCGCCTCTTGGAAGGCCTCCAGAAGCTGTTTTACATTTAATGGGAACATCTGCTGGGTTTCAACACATCTCTGAGGCTCTCTGCCCGGAAGCACTCACTCCATCTGAGCTGTTTGTGTCCTGGAAGGTTCTCTGTCGCCTGCGTTCTCCCTCCCCCAGTCCTTACATCCTGCTCCCTGACAGCTGCTCCATGCTGCATCCCAGCGTTTTCCAAATGATGGCTGGGACCCACTGGGACCCACTGGGATTCAGTGCAACCCACTGGGACCCACTGGGGGACTGCCAGCAGACTTCCAAGCAAGTTAGCTCAGGACAGAACTAGGAGAAAACGGCACAGAGTAAGTATTGTCGCAAGAGGGTTTTGTTTTGTTCCTATGTGTATGTTTGCAGTATGTCATGACGTAAGAGTATTTTTTACTCTGAAGCACAGTTAAAAAGTTTGAAAAAAAGCCACCACCCAGTGCTCACACCCAGTCTCACTGCTGTCCCACAGCAGGTGCCCCAGATGGCCGCAGCGGCCGCCACGTCTGGGGAGGTGTATTTAGAAAACTGAGCCAAGTCATTTGGTGAGTCAGGGCTCCCCGCTAGGTTGCTTACTGGAGGTTTCTAGGCTGGACAGAGAAGGAAAGGGAGGACACTTCTTATGTGCAAAGCAAAGCAGGTGCACACAGAGGCCCGGACCACAGAGGCCCCACCGCCTTACCCTTTCGCCCAGGGTACACCTGAGGGTAGTACTCGTAATAGAGATCTGGCTGATCCAGGTTTCCGAAGGGCTCGAACTCCATTTCGGCATTCTGGAAGAGGCCCAGCTTCACCAGTAGTGCCAGCCTCACAAACCAAAGCTGAAGCACAAAACACAATGGAAACAACAGGTTACCTACACAAGTCACGTTTGGAAATTCCTATTTCCTGTTGATCTGGTAGCAGAGCCTGATTTCCAGTGTCTCAAAACGAAGGCTAAAGTTTGTTTCTTTGCACATTTGCATGATGTTTCTACAAATATTCTTGAGCTTGATGAAAATGATATAAATGATTCCGTCTACTCGTCTTAGTCGGACAGTGTTGTCGGCATGGGTGTGGGGAGGAGCGTGTGGACAGGGCCGTGTCTGGGGAGGGCGCTAAGGGCAAGGGGTCAGCACAGGAGACGCACACGTCAGAAAGGACCGTGGACGCAGGTGCGTGGTGAGCTGAGCGGCCGGAGGCTCCGGGTACAGACACAGGAGCTGAGCTCACGTCTGCGCCACTGGAAAGGAAGGCCAGGACACACTCATTCGACATGAAATTTGGGCTAAGGACATCCATTTTCGTCTCATGTTGTTCTTAGTGGCATGAAAGGGCGGGCCCCTTCTGTGTCCCCACACCACAACTGTACCTGCAGCGAGTCGGCCGTATGGCTGGTGGGCAGCCCGCTCTTGCCGTAACCTTGGCCGTGGGCGGCGAGGAGGCGCCCGCACAGGTCGACCGCCGCTCTCCAGTTCTTGCAGCTCTGTAAGACACGGGACATGTGACCAAAACCACAGCCGCTCGGACACATGGCACCTGCTGTGCTTGACGCAGCTCCCGCCACCACCGCTGAGGACAGAGAGGCCAGACAGCAGCAGAGACCGAGCACGACGCCGTTTGTCACGCTGCGTGTGTCATTAGGCAAGGAGGACACCAAGCATGAGATGCAGCCTTAGATGAGCAAACCCTGAAAGCTTTACCATTTAACAGCTGACAGGATGTAGGCGGGACGATTCTCATTGGAGGTGGCCCCCCCCACCCCCCATATAGAAGAGTGCCTTCCTTTTTCCACAAGATAACTTCATTGTGTAATTTTCATAAATTTAAAGTCAGTAATTCAACTTTAGGCTATGTGCCGGATATATTTATATCCATAAGATCTGTGTCTGTAAAATAAGTGGTTTTATAAGCTAAATGTAATTCTGTCTATTGATGTGAAAGACGGTAGCTGACACGGACGTTTGTCTTTTCACCCTGACGCAGTTGAGGCTGGAGGGCTACCAGGCAAACACTGGGAAAACATTATCAGACAGAACGTTCCAGCACTTTAAGAAGCAAAATGTGGACGCTCGCTACCTATCTCCTCCGCACGACAGGCACTAACCACCTTTGGACGTGGCAGACGCACCCGGGTGCGTATGTGGCCAACGGACGGCACAGACTGTGTCAGGCCCTGGGGGAAAGTGCTGGCTGAGCGCAGTCTCGCGTGCCCTTGGCTCAGGGTCTAGCAAGGAAGGCAGATAAACAAAATGTTCTTTCAAGGATTACTGAAGTGATTTTGTACGTCCTCAAAGTGCTTTATGAAGCAGATGCCGGGGCGCAAGTCACCAGGTGGCCGGACTTAATGTCAGGGAATGGAAAGCTACTGGAGCCAGATGTGAAGGAGGAAGAACGGGGTCAGGGAAGGGTAGGACCCTCCAGGCGGGGGTGCTGTGGGAAGGACCTCAAAAGGGCCTCAGAAGAGACAGTGTGTGAGACACGGCAGTAGGTCCTGATGGCGGGCACATAGCCAGTGAGAGCGCAGGCGGGTAAGGATGGGGGTGTCTGAGACCTCAGGCCCCGAGAGGTCCAGGTGCTTCCGGAGCATACGTGGACAACAGAAAGGCGCTGAGCACATGGGGATGATGCGATTACATCATTAGCGTACAGATACTGGAGCAGCTCCCTGCCCCGCCCCCCCCGGGACCATTCCGGGACCAGCCTCCCACACGCGGTCCGTCTGCGTGCAGTTCTGGGACCCAGACTCCGCACTCGATCCATATTGTCCCAGGATGGTTCTGGGCTCCCACGAAGGAGGTGTGGTCACAGCGGAGTGGGAGTGTCTGCCCCAGAGACTGAGAAGCCTCGGAGCCTATGACACTCCCAGGTGCCACCCCAGGCCTGGCCATTGTGACCACCAGGGAGACCATACACAACGTCCCCCTTACGGCTGGTCCCCAGGGAGAAAGTCCAAGGAACAGAAACTCTTTCAACAACTAAACAGAATATTTCTTGTCGCGCTCAATAACAAAAAGGGGCTTGCACTCGGTACATGTTTTTCATATTATTAGTTTAGACTAAATTTTACAGAAGCTCCGGTCGGGGGGGCGCCTAGTGGTTTAGTAGGTTGAGCATCTGACTCTTGACTTTGGCTCACGTCATGATCTCAGGGTCACAGGATGGAGCCTGGTGTGGGGCTCTGTGTGGAGCATGGAGCCTGCTTGGAATTTTCTCTGTTTCTCTCTCTCTCCCCCTCTGCCCCTCTCTTCTCCCCTGCTCACACTCTCTCTAAAATGAAAAACAAAGGGGTAAGATTCAGTCTGCTAAGGGTTGAAAAGCTACAAGGAAACGCCCATCCTCCCAAGCCTGAGAAGCACGGCTGCAGGTGGCTCGTACCAGTATGGGTGTGCGGACGAGGCCGAGGGATGAGGCCAAGTGCTGATCTGACGTGGGAGCGCGGGGAGGGGGGCTGTAGGATGGATCTGAGAGCCTGACATGCGGCCTAGGGCAGATGCGCGGTACGCGGAGACAGGAAGGCTGGAAAGGATCAGAGCTCAGAACCCAAAATTTGGTTCCGACGATGTTGAGTTTGAGGGCCTTTGAGACATTCGAGCAGAAGAGGAAAACAAGCAGCCGCCGTGAGGGTCTGAGGCTTGGAAGAGAGGCGTGCCCGCTGGTGCAGGTCTGCAGGCGGAGGGTGCAGGGGAGGAGGGGGTGGCCGGGCCATCACACGGAGTGTCACTGTGCGCACCAGGCTTGGATGTGGCACTTCTCCGGCAGGCTCCGTGGCCCAGCCAGGCCATCCATGTGGCCCCACAGTCACCAGGTGAGGGTAGGGCTTGGCAGAGAAGAGAAGCAGGTGGACACCGTTCAGCACTACCACCTGCGTGACCTCAGGCCGGCGAGCTTCAGTCACTCCCTTGTCACCGCAGCCAGCCACCCTATAGGCGGAAATGAGGGTGGGGTCTGCCTGTGAGGACACCGGAGCTGCTGTCCCTCCCCCCTGCCCCCGTCAGCTGTCCGCGCACAAACGTGTCACAGCAGTACAAAAAGCTACACTCATAATGAAAGAGATGTAAATTATAACTTATTAGTGGTAGATTTTCATTAGCCAAAAAAAAAAAAGAAAAAAGAAAAAAGAAAAAAAAGCAGTGATGCCGTGGTTGGCCTAAGAAATGAGAAAAAACGGTTTTCGAAGAAGATACGAGTCAGGACAGACAAGGAGACAGTGAGGCAAAGCCGTGTGCACAATGTCGGTAAGTGTACGCTGCGACACTCTTCTGCGTGTATCAAGAGCCCCCAAACTGTCCATTCTCTGGGGCGCCTGGGGGCTCAGTCAGCTGAGCGTCTGACTCATGATTTAGGCCCAGGTCACGATCTCACGGTTCATGAGTTTAAGCCGTACATCGGGCTCTGCTGACAGCGTGGAGCTTGCTTGGGATTCTCTCTCTCCCTCTCTCTGCCCCTCCCCTGCTCACACTTTCTCTCTCAAAATAAACATTATAAAAACAAACTGCCCATACGGTGACCTAATTCTCCTCCCACCATTTATCTTCAGGAAATAATCACATGCAGCAAAGATTTCTCTACAAGAGGGTCTATCCCAAGGTTATTTATAATAGTGTCAGATTATGCAATAAGAAATATTCATAAAGACCTTTCAATATTGGACAATGCTAAAGAAATATTAATTAGAAGATACTAAAATATAAAAAAGTAGAACATAACATTTTGTATAATAAATATACCTACATAGGTATTCACATTCCTCACGCAAACCTACTACAGACACACACACACTCAGATACTAAAATGTTAACTGACCATGGTATCATTTCTCCTCACTTTTTCTGAATTAAGAACATGCTGTTTGGGACTCAGTCGGTTGAGCGTCTGACTTTAGCTCATGGCTGACCTTATGGTTCATGGGTTCGAGCCCTGTGCTGACAGCTCGGAGCCTGCAGCCTGTTTCAGATTCTGTGTCTCCTTCTCTGCCCTTACCCCCTTTCGCTCTGTCTCACTCTCAAAAATAAATAAACATTAAAAAAAAAAAAAAAGACCATGCTGTTGTGAAAGGAGGGAACATAAGTTTACTTGCGGACGAGGCCGTGAGGCCGTGAGGCCGTGGCCGTCTAGAAACGGTACTCCTCTCCCTCTGTCCCACGCAGAGGGGACATGCTCACCCCATCTATTACCCAGAACCCTGCTTTATGCAGGAACAAAATCAATGCGTGTTAAAATCATACTTAAAAAAAATTCAGGTATGGAGGTATAAGTTATGAAGCTCAGCTAATGCGTGAGGAATGAGGTATCTTCCTGGGAAAAGGGTTTCGCTGGAGTAGATAAGGAGCCTCCTGACACTGTCTGTACCCCCCACGCCCCGTGAGCCCCTTGTGATCTATTGACAGACCTCAAACACACACACAATCCGGGTGGGTGCAAAGACGCATAAACAAGAACGTCTGATCATGGATATTTAAATATTTTTGAAACAAAGATTCATTACCCGTAAAGACTCCACCATGTACAGATACCCACTGCCAACAAAACATTTAAACGTGTAATAAAATTAGTTGCAAGCACGCTGTGAATATAAAGTGCTCTATAAATGATTAAAATAATAAAATGTACCGTATAAAAAGCCTTTAGCTCTTCTCTGATTTCATATACTAAGATGTGTTTTCTCTATCCCAAACTGGGTCACCATTATTAAAAATGAAGCCAAAACCTATCATCTTCATTATTCATTTTTTAGTAAGTGGAAAGCTTTTAAAGTTTATTTATTTATTTTGGGACAGAGAGAGTAAGAGCGAGTGAGTGCGTGGCGGGGGGAGACAGAGAATCCCGAGCAGCCCCCACACTGACAGCCTGGGGCCCAGCACGGGGCCCGGAAGTCATGACCTGAGCTGAAATGCAGTCGGATGCTTTGCCGACTGAGGTGCCCAGCGCCCCATAAATGGAAATCTTTTCAAAAGTGGCTTCTTTCCTGACTGAAAACAGCAAGCAGAAATGCTATCAGGATTTCCCCCAAAGTTACTGTCCTGCAGGTGACTGAACGTGGGAGCTGTACAGGGTGCTTGTGGCTCCTAAGTGGGTCCAGGCGAGGCCATTTTCTCATGAACATCGATGGTCAGATGACGTGTACTAACATTCAAATGATCGTACACCAGCCCGACAGCACATTTTCCAGGGATCAGAATGATGTAATTCCTCAAGACAATTCAAAACAAAACAGCCATGGGGGGCGGCTGGGGTGCCTCTCCGCCACCTTCTTGGCGGCCTGTTTGAGAACAAGGAGGCTGGGGAAAGGCAAGGCCCAGTGTGGACCCACAACTTGTCCAGCAGCATGCGGTCACCTCGATTCGGGACCAGTGGTGACTCAGCATGGCTCCTTTAAAGACTAAGATGGGCATTATCTTCTGGTTTGAGAGTCACACAAGCTAGTAGAGAAAACAGAACAATGAGGATTTTCCTCGTATTACAACTTAAAAGGAAACAAAACAGTAGAGAACACAAAGACGCTGTGAGACAAGTTTACCATTTACAATTCACATTTCCCCAAATATCTTTTTTCCTGATAAGAGAATACAAAATATTTCTTTGTCTACACTTCAAGTTTACTTTGATATTTCAAAAAGATTTCCAGACAGGAATACTTCTGTTTGCAGCAAGTGGGATCAACAGAGAGCGTAACTGTCTTACCCACCGGGAGCCCGGCGGCGACGGGAGGTTCCTAACGGTTCCCAGAGGCTCCTGGAGAGCTGGACGAGGGGCCATGTGCACAGGCGCGGGCGAGGCCAGGACACCCACGAAGGGACAGAGGCGCACCAGGGCCAGGCAACACACGGACGCCCAAGTGGGAGGGGACGGGCCCGCAGGCCAGCTGAGCCCACTGGAGGCCGCCCCCCGGACGCCCTCCCTTGCCCTGGCCGGCTCCGGCCACCTCCCCTGCGAAGGGCAAACGGGAGAGCAGGGGTGCAGCGCAGGGAGGGGAGTGTCCGGGGATGGCTGTGGGGAGTGTCCAGGGCTGGTGCCAAATGAGCCTGGTCAGGTCAGATCCTGTGGCCAAAGAGAAGCAGGTTTTCAGGGCCCTCCCGGACCGTGGGATGAGGGGCGTTGTGGCTCGGATCACCGCCCGGGCCTCCGGCGTTAACACAAGCTGGCCCGTTACAGGCAGGCCTCACACTTCACGCTCCGTGTCGCACGCTGCTTTGGGGGTTCTCCCACACCTGCGAGCTGGTGCTCCTGCGTGACCTTCAGCTGTTGCAAAGGATGTAACTGCGTGAAAACTTTTTATTATTCGATAGTAAGGTTTTCAGTAACATTCTGGGCCAATTCAAACAACAGAGCAACAAACATTCTTGAACGTGTCCTGTTCAGCACGGGGGCAAGAGTCTGTCTCAAGTACAGAATCAGAGGTGGGGTTGCATGGATTTTACCAGCTCCGTCAAGCTGCTGTGCCAGGCGCTCCAGCCGCCCCCCGAGGACGCCCGGTGCCGCCCCGTCGGCGGGTGAGATGTGCGGCCCTCTTGCCTGATTCACGCTTCCACAATTCCCCAGGAGGATGCGCACTTTCCCCAAGTTTACGAGCTGGCTGCTTTCAGCGAACCACCTCTTCCTGTAATTTGCCCGTTTTTCTACTGGGCTCTTTTCATTTCTTAGTCATTGGAGGAAGGTCTTAACGTGTATTTCAAGCATCTTCTCTCATTCTGTGGCTCACTTTTTATTTTTATTTATTGATTTTTTAATTTTTTTTTTTTAATGTTTTTTATTTATTTCTGAAAGGGAGAGAGACAGTGTGAGCAGGGGAGGGTCAGAGAGAGAAGGAGACACAGAATCTGAAACAGGCTCCAGGCTCTGAGCTAGCTGTCAGCACAGAGCCTGACGCGGGGCTCGAACCCATGAACTATGAGATCATGACCTGAGCCGAAGTAGGATGCTTAACCGACTGAGCCACCCAGGCGCCCCTGTGGCTCACTTTTTAATACTGTTTATGGTGTTTCTGTTGTACAGTAGTTTTAAAGTAGTCGGATTTACCCACTTCTCCCTAAAAGGGTTAAGAAATGCTTTTCTTTTCTTTTTTTTTTTTAATGTTTTATTTATTTCTAGGAGAGAGAGAGAGACAGCATGAGCAGGGGAGGGTCAGAGAGAGAGGGAGTCACAGACTGAAACAGGCTCCAGGCTCCGAGCTGGCAGTCAGCACAGAGCCCGACGCGGGGCTCGAACCCACGAACCGCGAGATCATGACCTAAGCGAAAGTCGGATGCTTAACCGACTAAGCCACCCAGGCGCCCCAAGAAATGCTTTTCTATCCTGCATCATTAGGAGTCTCCTCAATATTCTGGAATTCAACAGATTCTGTTTCAATTCATTTGGAATTTATTTTGCGTGTGCTAAGAAATACAGATCTTTGTGATTCTTCCCACTTGAACACCCCACTAACTGTGCACCATCACTGACTCGCTCCTCCTTTCCCCAACATGGCTCCTTCTACACAAGGGTGGGCTCGGTGCCCCCCCATCCCAGAGGCGCCCCCCCCCATGTCCTGAGCTCACAGCTCGAGTCCTTTTCCGGCCCGCCGGGGGCCCCCACCTGCTGCCGCAGGAGGTCCACGTTCCCTTCCAGGGTCACTCTCCTCCAGTGTCTGTCCCTGCACAAGGCTCCAAGCACAAGGCCTGGGGACACATCCCTGTTCACGATGCCAAGTGTGTGTGCACACAGGGGGAGGGGAGGTTACTTCTTCCAGCCTCGAGAGGGCATGGCCTTTAGCTGGACTGGCCTGAGAGGTGACGGGGACCGAGCGGAGCTGGCCTGTGCCTGGTCTCCTTCCAGTGTCCTGCACAGCTCTGGGCAGCCTGACCACAGAGCCCCAGGATGTCTGAGGGAGGCGATGAAGATGACTCTTCGAAGGAGCAGCCAGGACGACCCAGCACAGTGCTGATCCCTGATACAGGTGCTCCCTTCCTTCCTCCCAAATACAGGGACCTCATCTCAGCACCTGTGAGCCATGGCTCAGGATGACACGCTGCCTGCTGTTCGAAATTATAATTTTGTATTTTCTCAGAGTGCTTCTGGCTATTTTCATCTTATTCCTTTCTACCTTCTAGAACCCTTCCTGGCGATCCTCCTCCATTTTCGTTATAAGATGTCAAGAGTGTTTGGTGAGGAAATTATTTTTATAATTACAATTTAAAACATACCCTGTAAAGCTTCAAGCTCGGTAGCAAAAATCTTACAACAATCTCATAATTACTGTAAATGACGCATGGAACTCTGATAATAAGGTCAGTTTGATATGAGAAAGATTTAAATTTAAATAAATGTTACTTTTTTTTCACACTAGGAAATAAGATATACTCTTTTTGAAAAACTGAACACAGGAATTCAATGACTTCTAAAAGATGAGAAAGATAGTCCAATAAAAGTCACTCAAGTTACTAACAGTCTATACACAGCTTTCCCATCTATGACTCGAACGGAATCATTGCCTCACATGTGATGCCATCACCAGGATGAAAATGTCCTTCTCTACAGGTGTGACATTCCTTCCCTGTAAATCACACTCTCAGAAGACACAGACGTTACTTAGGAAAATACATTTTGAAACTCCTTCCTAGTCTTGATGACAAGAGAAATTATTTTAGGACAGAATTAAAATACCAGGGCGAGGTAATGATTTTTTAAAAGTATTTTAAAAAAACCGTTTTTAGGGAAGGAGAGAGAGAAGGAGAAGAAGAATCCCAAGCAGGCTCTGCATTTGGCATGGAGGCTAACACGGGCCTTGATCCCATGACTCTGAGATCATGACCTGAGCCGAAATCAAGAGTCAGACGCTGAACCAATTGAGGCACCCCAGCAAACGCCCCCTTAAAAATATATTTTTTTTGGGGGGGGGGGAGAAATAATTTTTTTATAAATACATTTTCCACCTTAAACAGGTCTCCTTGTTAGGACTATAATAAAATCTCTCCTGGCTTTAAATATTTTCAGTGTATGAAAAAAACCCTAAACTACAGTATGTATTCAATAACAGCAGAAACAATCACAGCAGGCAAAAAGATTACCTGTGGAACAAATCAGTTATGGTGACTGTGTGGTTTTGTGTGTGCTTTTTACAAACTTTTTTTTTTTTATTTTTTATTCATTTCTAGGAGACAGAGAGAGAGACAGCGTGAACAGGGAAGGGTCAGAGAGAGAGGGAGTCACAGACTGAAACAGGCTCCAGGCTCCGAGCCGGCAGTCAGCACAGAGCCCGACGCGGGGCTCGAACCCACGAACCGCGAGATCATGACCTAAGCGAAAGTCGGACGCTTAACCGACTAAGCCACCCAGGCGCCCCTGTGTGTGCTTTTTAAACTGATCGTTACAGGGGTGCCTGGCTGGCTCAGCTGGGAGAACGTGTGACTCTTGATCTCAGAGTCATGAGTTTGAGCCCTGTATGTGGAGTAGAAGTTTACTTAAGTAACACAAAAACTGGTCATTGCCAAGTGCCGCTCCCAGTGCGGCCTATCGCTCATGACGGTGTCCTACAGTGGCTGCGTCAAGGCCAGACACAGGCCAGGACAATAACCCAACAACGCAAGAGCCTCTTCATTCCCCAAGTCTCACCCGTGAAGACCTGTGACTTCATTAACAGATGATGAAGGGTGCGGGTGTTTAAAGCTGTTTCCCCTCCTTCTCCAAAACAGAGTCTCCACATCTTTCCTTCCCAAAGCTTCTTAGTATAGGAATAATTCCAGAACCACTCCAGTAAAAGAAACCCAATGAGGCCCTTGATTTACATTTACTAAGAAATTAAACTTTAACTGCTTTATTATGTAAAATACCTGCTGACCACCCAAACCAGTGATTTTTATTTACCATTCAGAGGACACATACATCTGTACACGTGACAAAAGATGCGGGAGAGAGAGGAAATTGTGGGGGCACACCATCTCCGGGGGTTCAAAGGCCCCAGGAGCATCTACCCATCCACGCTGAAACGCCTGCGGTGCAGTTTCCTACTACTACTGGATCCCTGTTACTGTTTTCCTGACTGTCTGGGACTACGTCTCTAACCTGCTCGTTGCACGAGTTTACGCCTGTTATGGGACAAAGACTTTTGTGTGCGTTTGTGGCGAGCCCACCCATTCAATAATAAACCTTTGATGCCAAGTGGAGAAAATAGACTATTTAAAAAATGGCACAGAATTATTTATCTCTAGTTATTATATTTGATGAAGCGTATTTAATCAAAGTATATGCTGCTTCAAGTAATTTGATCATTTAAGATAATAGCTTTTTAACTAATTGGCCCTAAAATTAAAAGTATGTTTGTAGGATGCTTTTGGCTGCACAGAGCTTTTACGCAATTCAACAAAATCTTATTTATGTGCAAGGGCTTTAGGTAATGCCTCTGGAGTAATTAACTCTAAGGAAAACATTATGAAGGAAGGCAGGCAACCCTTATAAAAAACAATACTGAAATCAAACACATCATTACTTACGATGAGCTGCTTCAACCCGACAAAAGTCTGTTCCACGGACTCAGCGTTTAAGACCTGCCTCTTTGCGGCAGCTCTCTCGCCCAGGAAGCGAAGCATCAGGTCTTTAACTGCATCCCCCTTGAAGGAACGGAAGAAAAATGTGTCAAGACAATAAAACGTTAATTAAATGCAGCTAACCAGAGCCCGTAACTAAACGAGATTTCTTTTTTCTCCACGGTATATGGCAGTGGAGAAAACGTGGCTGCGGTGCAGTAAACTGCAGTCACCCACCCGCCGAAGCATCCCCGCCGGTAGTGTAGTGTGTGTTCGGACCTGCTCTTCCAGAGAAGCAGCGGTCAATCCACCCCCCGCGGCAGGCTGCCGGAGACATGCCGCACCAGGGGGCCCCCGAGTGTCACGTGGCGTCGCTGGGGACAAAGGGCTGGGTCTGTGCGGTGGGGGCTGGCATCGGCAACGCGCCGGTCTGCCTGGGTCTCTGGGAAAGGCTCTGGGACCTGAGAGACGTCATTCGTGGCTGGACGCCTCTTCCCTCCAGGGCTAAGTACAGCCTGAGCCCAAAGAACCAAGGAGGGTCCCCTGCCTGCAGGTCCTCGAGCACCCGTTTAGCCAGGTCCCCGGTGCCCAGGCGGGCACTGTCTGCCAGAAAAGGGCCCCACGGTGCCCTAGGTGAGGCGCCCCTCAGACAGGGCAGGGAGGGGTGAAGGTGGAGCCCGAAGTGTGTGATGTGGCGGCGAGGACATGGACAGAGGGAGCCTCTGCACGGCTGCTGGGACCTGGGATGCCACAGCCGCTGCGGGAAACAGTGTGGGTCCCCCGAGAGTTACAGACACAGCCCCCCTTCGCTCTGGCAACTCCACTTCTGGGTATTCACCCAGAGGAACAAAATCACCAACTTGAGAAGATGTCTGAGGGGCGCCCGGGTTGGCAGAGCTGGTGGAGGTTCTGACTTGGGCTCAGGTCACAATCCCAGGTTTGTGAGTTTGAGCCCCGTGCTGGGCTCTGCGCGGTCAGTGTGGAGCCTGCTTGAGATTCTCTCCCTTTCTTTCTCCCCACCCTCCCTTGCTCTCTTTCTCTCTGCCCCTCCCCTGCTTGTGCTCTCTCTCTCAAAAGTAAACATTAAAAAATAAAATACACACCTGCTTAAAAAAAAGACGTCTGCACCCCCACGTTCACAGTGGTGTTATTTCCTGCAAGGAAGATGTGGCAACAACCCACGTGTCCGTGCACGGATGAACGGGGAAGGGGAGGGGGCTTACCCACACAGTGGAACAGTTCTCGGCCATAAGAAGGAAATCTTGACGTGTTTCCACATGGAAGGGCCCTGAGGGCATTATGCTAAGCGAAGGAAGTCAGGCAGAGGAGGACAAATCCTGTATGCTCGTGATCACTTCCACGTGGAATCACAGAAACACAAAAACCAAAGCAGCAGAGCAGCTCCTAAACACAGAGAGCATGCTGGTGGTCGCCAGAGGCGGGGCGAGGGGCGTCACCTGGGGCAGGTGGTCAGGTGCTAGAAACTTTCCTCCCCACACAAACAGGGCACCGGATTAACGCAGCGCACGGAGCCGGAATGCCTGATACAGCAGTGCATACTGGCAAGATCCTCATCACAAGAAAAACTATTCTGTGAACGTGGGAGGTGAGGGATGTTAACCAGACCTACTGGGATCATTCTGCGATATAGAGAAACACAGACTCGTGTTACACACCTGGAACTAGTATGCGGCAGTTATTCCTAGATAAAAAAATAAATTTTAAAAACAGGGAGGGAAGATGGAGGGGGGAGGGGCCACGGAGATGGCGGCTTGGCCAGGCCAGGAGGGGAAGGACCAGCAATGGCAGGAACGACCACGGAGAATTCCAGCCTGGGGGGGGGGGGGCAGAACGAGACTAAAACCTCTCTGTCTCGGCGCAGGCTGATGCTGACGTGCAGGGGAGGACGCAGAGCCGAGAGCGCACAGGGACTGAGGGCGGAAGGAGGTGAGTGTGCAGCGTGCGGGCCCCACGACTGCCCAGGTCCCTTCCTACTGTTTTCTCCCTGCCCTTGGTGTACGCATGCGAGCGCAATCTTTCATTACCGTCCCAACGGGGACACGTCAAAAGCACCACCACGTGGGCGATGTGTGCAGGGGCCTGCGGCTGCCCTTCCACTGATAAAGGGGGAGGGTGGCCTTGGTGGGGCTTCCAGGTCACGTGTCTGGTCATGGCCCCGGGCACAGAACCACTCCTCCTACCACACAGTGCGTGTGGCGGTGTCATGTGTCTGGTCCAGGCCCCAGGAGCGCAGCCACCCCTCCTACGTACACGGGGGCGAAGACAAAGTAGTAGCTTTATGGTTCTCTGCCTTCAGGGAGTGAGGTGAGATGCTTCACGTGCTGGGGCAGGGAAGAGTGAGGAGGGGCAACGTCAGGGGAGAGTGGGGAGGGACCACGGCAGGGCAGAGTGGGGAGGGACAACGTCAGGAGAGAGTGAGGAGGGACCACGGCAGGGCAGAGTGGGGAGGGACAACAGTAGGGGAGAGTGGGGAGGGACAACGTCAGGGGAGAGTGGGGAGGGACCACGGCAGGGCAGAGTGGGGAGGGAC